GTACAAAAGCACAGAGAGGCGAGACAGATGAATGATTTTACGTTCATCTAATGGTTATATTTAAGTGAAGATTAAAAGGCAGAATAGAAATGCGGACGACATTAACGAGGTTACTTTAGAAACACGTGTTTTACCGTGGTTTATATTGTTGCCACTTTGAATAGTTAACACACACACACAGTGTTTGGCTAGGTTGTTAGGGCACTTGTCTCGCAATCTGAGGGTCACGGGTTCGAATACCTCGTTTCACCAAACATGCTCGCCCTTTCAGCCGTGGGGTCGTTATAATGTGACAGTCATTCTCACTATTCGTTGGTTAGGGAGTTGGCGGTGAGTAGTGATGACTAGCTGCCTTCCGTTTTGTCTTTCACTGGTAAATTAGAGACGGCAAGTGCAGTTAACCCTCGTGTAGTTTTGCGCGGAATTCAAACCAAGGAGTGTTCGTTAAATAATAATATAGTGTAGTTTAGAATATATATATATATATAAAACATTTATGGGTGAAATAGCTCGCTCTGGCTGCAAAAAAACATGTTGACTGTTGATAGAACACTAGCACATTTTAGTGTAGCGATAAGTTTGCCATTAGAGGTGACTGTTCTCTGAATCAAAACATATATTAAGAATTTATTAAATGAAACACGCAGACTTGTTTGGATATTTTACAAATCAGCTATCAAAACTAGGTTTTTTTTGTTTTTCTTGCAATAAAATTTATTTATGAATTAGTTAATAACTATATAAATTTTATTCTGTAGAAGTAAAGGATTTTGAAGTGTTCACTTAGATAGAGCTATCTACACCAACAGGGATCCCATAACAATTCCTGTAAATATTATTCCACTGTAAAATCTGCAAACAGAGGGCGACACCTCTCTACTGTCACTCAACCGAGCTACCTATCCTTTTTTTTAGATGTCCGAACAATCTTTATTTAACATCTGACTTTATTGTAAGTTATTCTGTAACAGGGCGCCACTTATCCGTTGCCACCAAATCTGATATGGTTGAATTTCTTATCTTCTTCTAGTGTTAACATACCAATATCTCTAAACATATGAACCTACTGTAGGTGATGTTGTTAAAGGATGTCACTTCTTTGTGCAATCCAACTCCTCATATAGTCGAGCTATTAATCACCTCGATGTTTACATTACAATTTTTGCTAATACGAAACTCTTCTGTAATATCTAATATGAGAGGGCGACACTTTCTTGAACTTGAAAATAAATGCATTGCTAGTCACGGATTCTCTTTTTTTGTGATAAAACTTATCTAGGTTTGATCAGTTTTTTTTTGTCTCTATTAAAAGTACTGAAACCAATGCCCAGATGCTTACTTTAAAAACGTCTTGGCTACTATAAATTTTTTAAATCCAAATCATATATCCTGAAATTGCGGATGATGTATAAATACATAAACATGGTATGTATAACCCTTAAAAGTTTCTTGTTACTCTTGGAAAGTGTCTTTTTGATAGTATTCAGTTACATAAGATCTGATCTCAAGATGCTTATTCATAACAAATTCAAAACGGGGGTGGCAAACCTCTGATGATGACCCACTAGTGGACGGTCAGTCATTCAAACCCCGTAAAAATGTTGCTTACTTGCCGAACGTGGAAAAGCTATCTTGTCCAAAGTTCTGATAAACTGTGTAATTTTCTGTTAACTGATCAGCCATTTTTTTTTCTAGAAACTAGAGCAGTTCATTGTATGCTGAATAAGGGGAAACAACCACGGTTCAGTTTGTTTTGTATTTATTAGTGTAAAATAGATAGTTAATTATTCAACAATACCTTTACACAGTGATTTATGATAAGTTACCTACATACAAATCAACAACAACATTTAAGACTTATAAAAAAATAAAAAGTATATGTGAGCATTCAGTCCTTAACGAACACTTATGCTCTTAAAATGAAGCATAGACTAAAACATCAAACTTCAATAAAGGAGCTCGCCTCACACAACAGAATATTGTTAATTTGTCAAATCAAATAATTCCCTATATGGACAAGAACGTTTTTAAAACTCGACAAAGGCTAAATAGATCACGTGGCAAGGAACTAGAAGAAACATCAGTTTAGTAGTAGGTCATCCGGTCAACATAAGTTATAAGGAGAACCATTTTACCGACTGTGTAAAAACATAAGAATAGATAGAAGCTTTGTTAGATAAAATGGGTCTTATAAAGCATTACTGAAGGAGAAAATCTTGGATCGTATTTACTATCAAAGAAGTATTGTAACAAATATTATAAATTAATTTTCGTGTTTTAAACCTCCTCAAATACTTTATTATTCATTTAAATGATCTCTACCCTTTTTAATAAATTTCAAAATTATAAAATGTTTTGATTACAAAAGGAAATGCACGAAAATTGTTTTTAACAGGAATTATATAATTAATTGAATTTAAACATCTGTTCAGTATCAATAAAAGCGTGTTCTTACTAGATAAAATATCCAATATTCTCAGGAAGTGATAAATGCAATATTTTCCATTATTGACTAGAGTTTAGTGTAAAAACATCAAGTGGTCTATGAGACAGAGGAACATGATATATGACTGCATGGAAATTGTTAGCGCCATTCAATCACTAAATTGAGGTCGTTTTCAGAATGAGGTTTCAGTGTGGAAACTGAGATCTTTTTTCAGAATGAGGTTTCTATGTGAAAACTGAGGTATTGTTTGTCCCTGTGAAATTCAGATGTCAGCGTGAAGTCTAAAACGTCACCAGTAGCATAAATTCGCAGCCATTTAGAATCAAGCCCTCAGCATAAAATCTGAAACGTTGTCTATGTCTAAAATCGCAATGCAGTTGACAAAGTATTCAACTTGAAGTCCGAAACGTCACCAGTATCAAGAATTCGCATTTTAAAAACAACCTCAGCATAAAATGTTGAAGATTCATTACATTCTTGAAACCCTAGGCTGTCAAAGAAGACTTCAACATGCAATCAAGAATGTCACCAAGAATCTGATGGTATTTTTTCTTAAAAAAGATCTCACCATAAAATATTGAATAGTCATCTGTGTCAAAGAATACTTCAACATGAAGTCCGAAGCCTCACCAGTATCAAGAAACTTATTCATAAATATCGTGAGAGTTTGCTTAGAGATACTTTACTGGCATCAAGGTAATGTCTTGACACAAACAATTCTGAGAGGGACATTTGTTAGATGGTAACTTATGCAAATCGAATACATCGTTTCTCATTAGTTACAGATGTTCATCCGTGGCGTACAAATAGGCGGGACTGCGCCAACTCTATCCTAACTCATGAGAGGTCAGATCCGCTTGTGAGCTATACAAAGTTAATACTTTTTGTGCCCAGTGGCTCGTCTGACGATATTCAGTCCAAACAGTATAAACCCATTCGTAAGATACACAGGTGTAGAATGCGCCAGGAGTAGAAGTGAGTCTAAGAAGAAAAGCTAAAGTTTATAAGTAGCAAGGAGTATGGTACACCAGTTACATCATAAGAAGAACTGAAAGGTGTCAATAGTTAGGAGTATTGTTGCACCAGGTGTAGTAGAGAATCTAACAAGAAAAGTTGAAATTTGTCAATAGCAAGGAGTATGGTACATCAGATGTAGAAGTGAAGTTCACAGTAAACGTTGAATTGTGTCAGTAGCAAGGTGCAGCAGGTGTGATTCTAAAGTTCATAGTGAAATTTGTGCAAGCCTATAGGTATAATGTCGTAAAAAAAACTAAAACTTTTAGTGACGGTTGAGATTATTGTTTCTAGTAATGAAATCGGAAAAAAAAGGAAATCTCAGCTATATCAATATATTACGTTTCTCTACAGCACATCAAAGGAGAGAATACGAAGTTATTTTTACTTTTCAGTTTCTGATGCAACATCCACTCATTTCCATACCTTGGAGAAAATCACTGGTTAATCGAATCCACTTTTTTAACCCAGCGTCGCCACTGCTCCAAACACTCTGAGATTATTTTTTAAACAACATTGCCACTACTCGAAACACTCTGATGTTGTTGTTGTTGTTTTGAATTCACTATTCTGAATACTTGGAGGCAAGTGTTTTCAGTGTTATCATACTCTGTATTTAGAGCAGAATAAAAAGCATTAAACTTGATATTCGGTGCCCGGTTTTGATACAAATTTTATATACAATATTCAGTGTTTCGAGAGTACAGAATAATAATGTCACACAAACTGTAGATATAAATCGTTTGTATTTACTAACAAAGATTATTTATCGTCTTTTTAAATAAAGGGTCGATTTGGATAAAATTCTTGGCTAAAATTACTGTTATAATGCAAATATTTGTGGTTATAAAAATAGCCCGGTTTCTTTTTTAATTGAGCATTAAAGTTAGATTATCTATACGGTTAGAGAGGATGAAGTACGAGTGAATTTAGTTCTGTAATAAACCAGCAGAAGGTGCGATATCATCTGTATATTCTAAATATTAATTTACTATGTCATCAAACTTAATGAAGGCATTAAATACGTTCAGCTGGGCGTTATTCAAGTTGACTATACTTTTATATATTAAAGATACTACTTTGATTCACATTTTAATTTTTTATGAAACTATTTAGATAAAATTACTTGGGTAAAACCGGTCATTGTTAGATGTATAAAATCTACTTCGTTGAGCGACACTGCTCTCTACATTTGATATTCTGTTTGTTTGTTCTTTTAGGTCCACTTATATATAACATTCATTCAAAGTTCATTATCACACCCAATAATAATAATAATTAATGTTTAAAAGATTTAAATAAGTATTACAGTTTTCCGCAGTTTTTGATAATCCCAGTTTGTTTGTTTTTTGTGTGTGAACCACTTTTCGGCGTTCTTATTGTAGCTGTTCTTATTATAATGTCTGATAATGAAAGGCGTAGAGGAATATTGAATATTGTATTACATATAGACTTGAAAAAACATCTTAGAAAATTTAAAATGATGGATATTTCACCATAGAAAACATTTACGAGCAGATTACACGCGTTTCGCCAAGAAAACGTTTTTGTTCAAATGGTTTTATTTTCCAAAAGCACTGAATGTTTTTGATAATATTTCAGAATACATATACTGACGGTTACATATTCTTTATATTGATCTTACGATATCCCTTGCTTTTCTGGTAGTTAATTCGTTCAATGCACTGATGATCTTCAAGAAAAATGTCGTCAAGGGCAATATCACCGTAGATGTCAGCTCCTACAACGCCTTCAAATATCACCTGTACGTAAGAAATAACAAATCAAAAATACAAATAATAAACTACTGATAGTATGTATTAATGTGAGTTTCATTTCTAAAGATTACCAAACTGATTTGACTTTGAACTTGAAAATAACTAATTTGTACAACACGTATAACATAAAGCTTTAAACCGTACTATAACAATATTTATTGTGTCCGCTATTATAACTATAGTAATCCAATTAGTGCATCTTCCGTAGCATACTTCAGGTTTTTATGGTAATCCAATTTTCAGGTCTCCTTAACTCGATCCTCTTGCTCAACTAATTGAACTAAAGAACGACCCCTATCGTAGGATACTTCTACAACTCACGCTACCACATCAATATTGATTTTAAGCGTAGCAATATTTATTCTCATAATATGCATTCAGCTAACTGTTTGTTTGTAATTAAGTACAAAGCTTCACAATGGGCTATCTGTGCTCTGCCCACCACGGGTATCGAAACCCGGTTTCTAGCGTTGTAAGTCCGTAGACATACGCTATGCCACTGGGGGGCAACATTGAAGAGCGTGTCACCTTTTTTCAAGAATACACCATTCTAATCTGTTCTAATCACTTAATTTCGATGCAGAGATACTTTGTGTTCTATAAATCATGGCACGCTTTTATGAATTAATAAATAATATCTAAATACAATTGCTTTTATAATTTCAAAAGAATATAAGATCTTGTAATCTTTCATTTAAACTCTATACATTTAACTAAAATTAACATAGGTATAAATAGCGGAAAATATTTTTAAAATTTGTTTCAGTGTTGTTTTCACTTTACGTCCAAACCGTCAGTTACAGTTACAACTATAGCCTTATCAAGTGTTTCAGCATAAGAACTGGATTCATTTCAATCACTCGCATTATGAGCTACATCAATGTTTATGTAAATTTAATTTTGTTTTTTTCTTTGGTGAATTGTGCTCTAAGTTACTCGAGAGCTAACTGCATTAGCCGTCTCTAATTTTGAAGTGATGAATTACAGCTGGTTAACGCCACCCATCTCCAACTCTTGGGTTACTCTATACCAATGAACAGTGAAAATGACGGCCACATTATAGCGCTTGACTTCTGAAAGAGCGAGCACGTTCGGTGCCAGAGTTCGATCCCGCAACTCGCAGATTGCGAGTCAGGCGCCCTAACCACCAGGCCAAGTCACAAATCAGGCCTTTAATAGAGGAAAAGTCTTTTTTTTTCTGTTATCCTCAAGTGACACAGAGATAAGTTTGAAAGTTTTTCAATTCAAAAATTTGACACAGCGCAGAAGATCCATTTTGTAGCTTTCCACTCTGCCCGTAATTTAATCACAATGATAAAATTTTATATCTAGGTGTTTTGTAAAGGTTTACTCTGCTAAAATTTACACATAATGATTTATAGTGGTAAATTTTCGGAAATACATTTACCGATTTCTGGTTATCTATGTACTTTAATTAAAAAAACAACTTACAATAAGGACCTGCCAATTGCCTAAAACTTCAACTTACGCTCCCTAATTGTTAAACCAATAAATAGTTAATAAGAATCTATCTGAAGACTGTTAGACCAAAACTGTACATAGCAAACTAAACCAAACTAACTGTGATACAGGAACACTAAATAAATTATTGAAGTCGAACATCGTTCGTTTTAAACGATTTTATTCTACTAAAAATCAGTAATAATTTTATTTCCCCGGAAAGGGGTCGAAAGCTCTCTGGGGGGGTCACCTGTTTTAACCACTTACACCACTATACTCTTATTCTATTTTTTACTCTTATTCTATGAAAGATCCTGTTACTAACAAAATCATGGACACACAAACAATCTAATGCATAAATAGTTTAGAAAAATACGTGTAAAATTCAATGGTGTTCATCGACCCTAACGATAACGCAAAGGCTAAACTGATACTCCTAATATAAGAAATACGTGATCTTATTTTATGGGGCCTGGCATGGCCATGTGGTTAGGGCCCTGGACTCGCAATTTGCGAGTCGCGGGTTCGATTACACATCCCACTAAACGTGCTCGCCTTTTCAGCCGTGGGGGCGTTATAACGTAACGGTCGATTCGTTAGCAAAAGAGTAACCCAAGAGTTTTCGGTGTGTGGTTATGACTATCTGCTTTCCCTCTAGTCTCTCACTGCTAAATTAGGGACAGCTAGCGCAGATAACCCTCGTGTCGCTTTTTCGCGAAATTCAAACCAATCTTACTTTATAGACAAAAATGTTGAACATCCTATTGCTCCAACGTCCTAATGACCTGAATCAAATACGGTAATCTTGAGTAGCTACATTTATACTTAGTTAAACTAACACAAATCACATTGGATTTATCTTTAATGATATTAATACAACAAATGTAATAAAAGTTATATTTCCCTAGTGCATTATTTCAATGCTAGCTAGTGTCACTTCCAGTATCATTAACTACTAGATTTTTGAAAGACATTCTATATCTCAGATTTAAGAATTTTTGTTTTGTTTTTAGGCAAATTATAACTCGAATTTTCGCTAAACATAACGAAAGTGTACGTTTATTTGACCCGTTTACTAAATGTAACGGAGGTATCTTTTTAACTCGAATCTTTGCGAAATGTAACGGAAGTATTCGTTAATTCGAATCTTTTACTAAATATATTACTTTCTGAATCCGAATGGTTTCCTTTCCGTTATCGTTTAGCATTTTAGTAGCATTCGTAAATTATATAAAAGACAAACGCTAAGTCAAATTCAGGGCAGATAGAATCAATAGGCAAGATCCGGCGTTCCGGAACACTTGGACCATTCAATAAATGCAAAACTTCATCCACTATTTGTTTTTGTTTTTCTTGAGGTCAGGATTTATTTATTTTTGTATCTAGTGCATCTATATTCCTGTTTCATTGCAAAGCAAATTTTACCTAATTTGATTTAGTTATCACAAAATATAATAAATCATGTTTCATTGAAACAACTACAGGTGCTAATAATAAAGAAGACTGTTGATAAGACGTAAAATACTTGTATTTACTAATGCTTCGAATATTTTAGAGTGCAATTATTCCGCCTTAAGCGAAATATGAAAATAATATTATATATATATTTGTTAACTAATGTAATAGTAACTTCAATAACAAATTTATCCAAATGTTCAGTGAAGTGGTATACGGGAATATAGATTACAGAATATTTTACGAAAATAGCACAAATGAAACATCGGGTTATAATGATAACTATTCGTAACAAACGGCTGAGTGGTGAAGTTATTTAGAATAATTTTAGGTTTAAGTCATTAAGTCACGTACGGTCTACATATACGACTTGTGATTTTGCTACTTCCGTTATATATCCTATATTCTTACACTTCCTACTTCCGTTATATATCCTATATTCTTACACTTCCTACTTCCGTCATATATCTTATATCCTTACACTTCCTACTTCCGTTATATATATCCTATATCCTTACACTTCCGTATTTTGTTATATATCCGTACACTTCTTTTTTACCTGTTCACCGAGTTTTAAATGAATTAGTTATTGATTACCGTATAATTGTAATAATTTCACTGAAGATAGAATAAGTGTATTGCAAAAAGTCCGAAGCTATGGTTAGCGTCTTATCAAATGTCTTCATTTTTTAATTAGACTTTATTTCCTCTAGCATAAATCTATTGACAACTACAGGTTCGGCCGTAGACCAGCGATATACATTCTCTCTATATATTTATTTAAATTTCAAATTATTTCCAATTTTACTTATTATTTTTAAATATTTTTTTATGCAAGACATAATTCGAATACTTTTCAAAACAAAATTCTTGAACTTACATCAACATTTAAATCAAAATTCAAAATAAACTTGAATATGGAAGCACATTACACTAATATAATAATAAGTTCGCAAACAACGATTTATAAGTATAAAGAAGAAGACAGACCAATGTTCTATCAAAATATTAAGTCTGTTCTCCCAAACATAAATCCCTTCATTATGCTTACAAATCGTTGTTTGACAACTTATTATTAAAATACTAATACTTGCAATGAAATAATAAAACAAAATTACCGGAAGTTTTGTCTTAATAGTTACTCTTGTGAAAGTGTAAGAAAAAAATCGTAGCCTATTAGTGAGCCCCCGGTGGCTCATTGGTAAGCCTGGGGCTTTTCAGGCTAAAAATCGGGTTTCGATATCCGCGGTGAGCAAAATATAGATAGCCCATTGTATAACCTAGCAAAAAATCAAAGAAATTCGTTGATTTGACGCCATCTAGTATTTATATGAGCAGGTTTCACTTTTTCCATTTGCCAATAATGTCAATTATAGAAAACAATGTATACAAGAGACATAGAACAATTTTTTATTTGTAAATTATTCTGATCCCTGCATGTAAATTTGTTTACTTTTTATACTAGTAATACTTTTAATATTTGTAGTTGAACAGAAACATGAAACTTAATATTGTTTCATAAAAGTTCGACTTATAATCAACATTATTGTATAATGTTTTACTGTCAAAGTTGGTTTCTGATTAAATGTACAATGGCAAGATCTTTATTAGATTAGTAAAATGTTTATGTAGATAAATTGCTACATACTCTGATTTCAGTGTTACTTATAGGAATGTTCAAAGCTGTTTCTAACCAAAAATCCCCATGGTTTCCTGTCTTGTCGAAATATTTGGTTTCTTCTACTGCTCCATTCTCTTCGATCAATTGTATGAAAACCCTCAACGACCCCACACTGCTTCCGTACATATGATACCAAAATTTCAAACAGAACCCTGTTTCTGTTTGTGCTATCCATGGTGTCATCAGCCGTGCTTTCTCGCCTTTGATTCTTGGAGTAGATGTTTCAGTGTATATATAATAACCTAAAGTGACAAAACAAAAATGAAGATTTTTTTTTCTTTGGTAGCAAAAGGTTACTTTAGCTTCAATTATGCTATTTCCATGCGCTTCACTAAGAATAACTATTTGAAGTTTCTAACTGAATCAGAAAATGTATTTAGAGTGCTCGAATTCTCTTTAGACGGAAGAGTTACGCTATGGCTTGTGTGGTTGGATTTTGAATTCAAGAATTCGTGGTTACCGTCCCAGTACCACAAAAACACACTCTGCGCTTTGGGGCCGTGGGTGCGTTACTTGAGTGATGGTCAAAGAGTATCCCATTAAATTTGGTGGGTGGTGTTAACTAGCTGTCCGGACTAGAAAATTGCATTGACTGAAGTCGTCTAACCTCATAGGGAGCTTAGCCGGACGAAATCCCTGTTATGTTTGTAGAGCCCAAGGAGGGCACAGCTCCCAGGTTTGGAACCACTACAGTCTAGTATATCAGCTCAAAACCAGGGACGGCTATACTCAGGTAGTCATTGTGTAGCTTTGCGCGAAGATTCTAAACAAAATACAAAAAAAAAATCAAATTCTCTTGACAGCTGCTTTCGTAAAAACGTATTCCGGAAACAGTCAGTTTTGTTTCAAATAACATTGATAATAAAGAACTCTACTACCAAGAAGAAGCTCACGGTCATTGGAAAACCCATAAAAGTAATGAATCGTCATTAGAATAAGAAAGTTGAATTATTTTAATGTGTACCAAGTGAAAATGTTCGCAAAGGTACACGATAACTATATGTTTTCGCCGTCTCTAATTTTGAACTTATAGATTAGAGCGACAGCAACTATTCAGAATCACCCACCGCCAACTTTTAGACTACTTTAATCAAAAAGTGAGATTTGACCGTCACAGTTATAACGCACCTATTGCCCCAAAGTGTGGAGTACAGTTTTGTTGCAAGAGGACGCGAACAATGAACGTTGAGATTCAAAATCCGACACGCTAACCACTCGGACATGACAGATCATATAATTATGTAAAAACAAGAGTCTGGATAGCACATAGTAACACTTACATCGTTCTCTAAGAGAGCCTCCATAATAAGCTAAGTAGTGACAATGTACCTGTTCCTATAAAATATTTCGGATTTTTAAATGAGAAGTAGCAAAACTTATTTCTGTAAAATAGCTTAGACGGTTATATAACAAGTGCTAAAAACCTACCTGTTCATGTAGGTTGTATATTTGGATGACAACTATTAAAAATATGTATTTCCCCACAAAAGAGAATAATATATAACAATTAGTTAAAATTTACCTGTTCCTCTAAAAGAGCCCGGATAGTTCGATGACGTATGATCTGACTTAGGACCAGTGTGCATAGAAGATGTCTGGCCTCTCTGTCTTTTCCAGTCAAAATCGTCTTCCTGCTCTTGTTGTAAGTCACACCAATCATTATCGAACGAGCAGAATACAGGTGCAGCTGTAAGTGAACAGTTTCGTTATCTGAACGATTATTCGTAATCGTATGTACAAATGTCCTGCCATATCACTTAACCATAATTTATTTCTAAGTTCTTCACAACATATTTAGTTTTCTTTAATTTGCAATGTTCTTCTTTTGTCTCATGCTGATACTCACCGGCACATACAGTTTCTCTCTGAACTATTTTCTTATTCCTCTTTTTAGCTGGAGTAATAAGCATTTAGAAATCAAGTTAACGATTTAAGTCAAAGTCAACATGAAGGTTGGAACGCCGTAAAATATACCAAAACAATTTCAGTATTTATCTAAGACAATCAATGTACAGAGAGTTAAGTACGTTATACTAAGAATATTTTAATATGCAAATAAGCAAGTCATGTGAAAACCACACGCCGATAGAACGTCGCGGTGGAACAGAATATATCAGTACTACATTTCGACATTGTTTGACGTTTCCGTAGGTAGTGCGTTACAACCGAAAATTTATTGCTTCGAGGAAGAGTATATAACAACCCTTGCCAACGCAAAATATTTATGCATTCACATTATAAGGATGTGTTCTGAACAGGAATTTAGAACTTCGAAGATGGGATTATCCCTTGTACTTAGTGGAATTGGAAAAAAAGAATTATCATTCAACTTGGGGCACCACAATCATCCAGACAGAGAACTTCAACAAGTTTAATGTAAGTGTAATGTTTTGGAACACATAAGAATCCACGATTACAAAGGTTAGTTGCAAAAACTGTCCATGTGTACCAGGCAAAAGTACGTAACCCAATAAAGAAGAGTTTCCTTCTGGAAAACGACAACGTGTACAGAAGTTACTTCCATGAAATATCTGATAAACCTTCACATACCTCAAGTAACTGCAGAATGAAATAGGTATTTATGCTATTTCATACGAAAACATACCAGTCAAATCGCCTATGGATTCATTTGCATTCTTGTGACTTATGGAAAGTATGCAAGTAACAGTGATGTACTTGTGACCTGACAGTCTTACGTCGGGGTCTTTTGCAATGAAAATTAGAATGCAGCGCTGATTTCAAGAAGCATAACCGTCAGATAGAGTACGACCGGATGTGGCGACATGAAATGTAACAACGTGATAAAGCTACCAAATCGTTTTAATATAAAGTAATCAACTTATTTATACACCATTATTACCAGATACAGACCTGGAAAATTAGTAGGACATGCGTGTATATACACCCAATACAACATCCAAACTTGTTTAATATTAAGTTCATGTCAAATTATACTTACCTCAGGAATTAATTCATGTAATTTGAGATCATTTTTGTCCAGAGAGGGACAGTAAATGCCAACTGTGTTTAAAAAAGTACTAAAGTGCTGGAAAATGATTTTTAGTTGTACTAGCTTGTACAGTTTGAATTATAACACGTGTCTTATAAATTGTCATAGATGTCACTCGCCTCAGACACCAGACAGTAGAGATGGCTTAATAAGTTTTCTTTGGTTAAAAGACGTGCTAGGGATAACTGGAGAAAAAAATAGGCATATTGTACTAGAGTTACGTTCTACGATAACAATTCAGGCAGACAGCTAGTGTTTCTGTATTCCATAAGTAAGCTCAACAATATTACTTATTTATTAGTTATAATATTTAGTATATCAAATGTCATTACTTGTTATATTTATTAATTGTTTATTAATATATTTTTATTATATAGATTGTTTTACATTGTTAGCTTAAGAGACTAACATGACTAACCTAAATCTCCTAAGCTGGCTGAAGCCCATGAAATATTATTAGGATTACGGCCGAAAATATCGTTAACATCGTAATATCGTAAATAAAGTATAGTAATTAGCTGTACTGATTGCCAGATTAATTTTTAGTTTCGCTCTAAGTACAGAAGTTGGTCTGATCAGAAGCTAATATTTATTGCGTTTAGTCTTGTAGAAGGTTTTACAATCCCAGTATCATAGTTTTAATTTGCAAAGCTTCTCTTGTCTATTTGTATTATGTTTATGACATTCAGAAGTTCTCCTGATCAGAGAAATTTATTATAATAATTGAATGGTTGTTTTAAATCACAGCACACAATTGCCAGTTTCTACTAGCTAATGTAGTTTCGCCTACTTTTACTATTTCAGGTAGAACTTGCAGACGGTTGATAAGTTTACTGTGATGTCTGCCTAGTTTTCGCGGTTTATAAAGCTACTTTAATCTAGAAACTTTAGAAATGGCGTTGTTGTTGTTTTTTAATTCATGAAGTCATTCGCGTGGTTTATCAACGTTTTTTACACGAGACTATATCTATAAAATTAAGAATGTGTAGAACTGTCTTAGCTCTTTTTTCCTGTCTATCCGGTTGAGCAATGTAAAAGAACAAGATGAAGTAGTGATAAGAAACTCTTAGCAAAATATATCTTTTAGTAACATATAATGTTAACGAAAACATCTTTCATTCATGATGTTTGTTACATTATGAAAGATCAAATGCTCTTTGAATGAGACCAGATTTTACCTCACATACACACCCACAAAAAATTAAATAAAATTCCCAATCCCTAAGCACACTCCTCTCTAACTCTGTTGGCACCGGTAACATTTGTGTGTGTGTGTATTGTTTTATAACAAAGCTACATCGGGCTATATGCTCTGTCCACCGAGAGAATTGGACCTCTTATTTTAGCCTTATAAGTCCGAAGAATTACCACTGTCCCACCGGGGGACCAGATAACATTTGCTAAGAAATTCTTCTTCTGCTTCTGTGGAAAGCTCATTAATGACAAGAATCACACTGAATATCAAGGTTGTTTTTGTGATTATTATTATCAATAAAACTTTCCTACCCAATTTCAACTTGTTTTCCCCCAAAACCTCTAACTATTTAATTTTTCAAATATAAAATACCTTTTGTGGGTAAACAAGCGGGGATGGGGGCGCTCCATCTTGCAGTTCCGTCAATGGACCTCAAACAGCGAACTTGGTCGGGACCAATGAGCTTAAAACCATTCTTACAGCTAAACCCAAGGTACGAACCAACAACAGGTTTGGTTTCTCCCTGTATTTCTCCGTGAAGAACTTGGACAGGTGGTTGGCAGAATACAACAGGTTTCACTAAAATAACAAAAAATGGATTAATTAAAACTTAAGAAATAGTTATCTTAACTCCTAAGAGAATTTGAAGTACTTATGGTGTTACTAGCATTTTGCATTTCATAGGAGACTTATCAATGAATTAATTTCCTTTAAATTTTTGAAGTTGATAATAATAATAATGTACATGTAATGCATAATAACGTACGTACATTATTTAATGCTGGTTATGAAATAATATAATCGAATAGCGTTAGATAATAGCACTGAATGCTTAAAAGAAAGGTACCATTAATTTGAGGTCCACAAAAAATGCTCTTTTATACTCACATGCGTTCTTTTGTGGCCACTGACCGTTTCATAGTGCCAAAACTGTTTTTTTCAATGTTTTAATTTAAATGTTCGATTGAGAGGGCTCGTCATTATGTAATAATAATGACGTAGTAATTCTTACAGTACGGAGAAACAAGAGTACGATATAAATATTAGAATCAGTGAATTAGTCAGTCATTCGGTGTAGTATTCACTGAATCAATGAGTGAATCAGTTCAGTGCCAGTCAGTGAGTTATTTAGTTTTATGCTTCAGTTACTGAGCTAAACAGTGAATTAACGTGTTTGTTATCATTCGATTAGCTAGAGGAAATTTAACATTAACAAATAAGCTTATAAGTAAGTTAGGCGTATACTAGTCTCGAAATATCTGTACCTATATTTGCTGCTAAAGGTTATTTGAAAGTCTAATACTTAACGAATAGAATATATATAATATATTTTATTTAGTTGTTTTTCCACGGCAAAGAAAAACAAATGCGACGTGTTTAAGGTACTATCAACTTACTAATGTGAGAGAAAAAACTGAACTTCAAGAACCCTATTTTTTTTACAGACTAATTGCAATACGAGAAATGAATTTTGTACTTGGTAATATCACTTTAAAGTTACGGATAAAAACATGCTTTTTTTTAACATTCTCAGTCCCTAGAACTTAACTGTAAAAATGTTGTAACATATTTTATTGCTGAGCAGTTTTTATATTGTTTAGTAATTATAATGCCAAATCCAGTTCATATAGCGACAAAGAATTAATTTAGTTCTTCAATAACGTTTGCTACAATAAAGCTTATACTGTATTGAAGTTTAGGTCCCCTGGTGGGTCAGCGGTCCGTTTACGGACTTAGAGCTCTAAAATCAGCGGTTTGTTTGCTCTGTAGACAGAGCGCAAACAAACCATTGTGCAGCTTTGCGTGAAAAACAATAAGATTAAAATATATATAATTAATTGAACTTATGAAAACGGTAATGATAAATTCAAGAAGTTAACAGTAATATTTAACGTAATCCCCCAAGTATAACAGTAAGACTGATCATGTGATGTTCTCTAATTATATAAATATTCAAACATCAAAATTTTCACATCGTATAAGCTACAACTTACATAAAATAGGACACTGAACATAACTGCATTTTTGAAGCTGATTCTGCATCTTTTGAGGGCAGTTACTAATAGAGTTATGCAATGATTGGAATGATTGGGCAATTCCAAACGAAGTGCTCACCAGGGAGTGATGAGAGACACACTCACGACGACGATACTGCAGCCCGTGCCCACATGTAACTGTGCACTTGCTCCACGAGGTCCATTCTGTCCATATTACAAGCTCTGGTTCCGAAATCATCTTTGTCTTAAACTGAAACAAACAATGCAAGTTAAATACGTTTTTTTTTTTTTAATGTGAACGTTACAATATTGTAGAAACTCCAAATCGGCATCTTTAAAGACATGAGTCATCTGAAGTTTGAAGTAAATATAAACTCAAAAGGGGCATCATTCATGAAAAATGATTTCATGAGAAATCAGTTTCGGAACCTAAAACTGAGCTCATGAGGAACATTCTTTTAACGTAATCCTAGTCTGTTTAGAAACCTTTATCTCAAACTATAATAGGAAACGTATAAGCTATGGAGATAATCAGCTTCTCCAAATCTCATACCATCACGTGGTCCCTGATAGTTTGCGTGAAAATAATGATTGTCTCACTCAGTCATTAAGAGCAGAACACGGTGAGTTTGGGGGCTTAAAAAATTAAAAATCGGAATTTGATCTCTGCGGCGGGCACTGCACTGATCGCCTTTTGTGTAGCTTTGCACTTAAAAAAAGAAAATCGCATTCCGGGATCAAGTTTAGACATGAAAATTCACAATAATTTAGCAATACTACAATATTTCTTACTTTTATCAAGGTTTTTTAATGAGTTTCTACTACAATACCAAATTCAAAACATATGTTTTCACATTCAATTATCTGTGTGTTTTTACCTAAGATATAATTAAAACTGAATGAAAATTGAGTCAAAAATGTTGCAGAAGTTTTATGCAAAACACAATAAGTATAATTAGCTGTATTTCATTATGAAATTAATATAATTTTATAAAATATTATTCGTCTTAAGAATTGATAATAATGAGCGAAAATAAATGTGAATAAATTTTACAATTTATTGTGAACGTAACATCGAAGTTTGTGTTATTCATAGATATATTTTTCAAATCTACCCAATTTCTCACATTATCCGATTTTTATTATGTAGTTTTGAAATATTGTATTTTTGCATCTTACGCTATTCAGCATAACTCTTGTAGTGTTATGAACTACACGTTATTATGCAACGGTCAATCCCACTATTTGTTAGTAACAGAGTAGCCCAAGAGATGGCGGTGGGTGGTGATGACTAGCTGCCTTCCCTCTGCTAAACTAGGGACGGCTAGCGCAGATAGCCCTCGTGTAGCTTTGCGCGAAATTCAAACAAACAAACATATATCCTGCTAAAACTGTCACGTTACGTATTCATACATAAAATACAAGCTAGCCAAGGGCACTCCCATGTAGCCTTAAGGCTGCATGATTTCCTGCTGGTCACATTAAGTTAACAGCAGTAACCTAATTGACCTAATTAGCTTTTCTTTTATATATCTGTGCTAAAACTAGTCTCATTAGAACATCATTCTTTGAGCTTCACACTTAAACTTTTGATACTCATCAGTTCGGAAAAATCAGGATTTGGCTTGCTAACAATTCAAAACTCAAACACGTCACTAGTACAGGACATTTAAAATAAATACGGCAGGAAAACATAGTTGATTACGTGTTTCGTAATATTTACGTATCTATAGTATATACTTTTTAAAGTCATTTTATCAGATATGAACAAACAGTCCCCCGGTGGGACATTGGTAAATTTAAGGACTTACAAAGCTAAAATTCGGGGCTCGATTCCCGCGATGAACATAGTAGATATCCCAGCGTGGCTGTGCACAAAAAAAGGGGGAAAGGGGTGAACATACAATAAGGTCCTGTCATTGAAGCTTCTGTGAACTTTATCCACTTGTACTTCAGAGTTTAGACTTATACCGGGAAGGACACGAGTGATCTTACCACAAGTTGTCTTTATCGGCAAAACATGGCTGTTCCAAAATCACAACCAGGATGCTAGAAAAATGTTTTATTTTATTCTCATATGGTTCTAGATAGGTTAAATTTTACTTAACTTTGTTTTAAAGTAAAATGGGTGTTTGGCAGGGAAAAGTTAGAGATCCAAGTTCTAAATGGGTAAGTAATTGTCATTTGAGAATGTAGAATTTTTTCCTATGCTCTGTCCCGTTGCCGCATGGGTCATGGGTGCATTATAAGAATACCGGTCAACCCCCACTGTTCGATTAGAAACGTAAGAGTTAACGGTGAGTGCCGTTTGCTAATTGTTTTCCTTCTTATTCCATCAGTTCAAAATTAGTGAACCTAGTAGATATCTCTTTATTTAACTTAGGCCCGGCATGGCCAGGTGGTTACGATGCTCGACTCGCAATCTGTGGGTCGCGGGTTCGAAATCCATAATAAACAATTGTTTAACTTACATAAAATTTATAAACAAGCCAAACCCATGCTCTCTATTACTTCTCGGATCCTCTGTTTTTTTATATTCTACACTTCTGTTCGGTTAAATATTTTTTGTCGCTAAAATGTTTAGCTGAAGCTGACAATTGTTTTCTTTTTTAGATTACATTTCATACTGCATTTCACTATAAGCAAGAAATGAAAATTAAAAATCTATGCATTTCATGACTTCAATGTATACATATTATATGTAATTATAAATAAATGACAAGGTTTGTTATGTTTTGTTTTGTTTTTTTTGCTATTAAGCACAAAGCTACACAATGGGCTATCTGTGCTGTGCCATGTGAATAGCGTAAAGTAAGATTAACATTACTACACATTCTAAAGTTTTTAAGTTTCGCAGACTGTGTCGCCATTTTGACAGTAGTGTTATTAGTAAAATAATATTAGAAGCACATCTTTAAATAACGGTTGTTGGGATCAAATGAACACATATACCTTTCTTATTCAAACATTAACACAGTTTTTTTCATTACGTTTTAAATGCAATTAATTATTATAGCTTATGACTAGACATATATATATTCTAGAAGATTAAATATATGGTACCTCAGTTTTTGCTGTGAACAACGGCAAATAAATCCATGAACAAATTAGCGGCCAAAACAATAAGTTGTTCATAGCTTTTCTGGAAAAAAAGAGACGTTTTTTGGCGAAATATCGTTGATTTTATAGCGACTTTAGAAATGGTTAATAACATGAATATTGACCGGATGACACTAACACACGTATACTTGTTTATGTTTATACAGATGCATTTCATTGTTCACGTACTCTCGTCATTACTGGTGTATTGAGTTTAGCGTCACATTTTATCATCATTTCTTAGAACAGCTAGACTTTCCTTTCTTATCAATCAATGCTAGCGGAACTTAGTTTCTTTTCCTACTCCTGGTTAAGAGGCAGTGAAAACAAAACACTGGGGGTTGTTTTATCTCTATCCCCTGGATAAGAGGCAATGAAAATGAAAACTGGACTTATTTGCTTTTTCCTGCTTGTGATGCAATAACAACGAAACATGAGTTGCTTATAAAAAATCTCCTGCTTGAAAGTAAGAGGGAAGGAATGCGAAATTTGGGACTTTTTTTTTTCTCTCCTAGTTAAGAGAGGGCGATTGCGAAAATTTGGTCTATATATATTCGTAACAACGAGATTAATGAAGTATAAAATAAAAGAATATGTAGAAACTGAATTGTCAGGGTAGTGACACCAGTTGGAGAGCTCCTGAAGAAAACACCCTCAGTGATAGAATGCCAAGTTGGTGAAGGGCAAGAAGTTAAAAAGTTATTTTGTCTTCATACTACAATACTATAAGTCACAGAAATGAAAACCACCAAAGAAATCTGGTGATTGAACAAATGAGAAAAGTGTATTAGTAAAGAAAGAAAAACTTTTGTTACTCAAAATTCTTACTGTACATTGTTTTACACTGTTAATTCACGATTCGATAATTGTAATGTCTATATTTATGAATATTCATGTTACTTGGAGTTTATTATTAATTACGAAAGTTTAAGTTTAATAAGCCATTGTTTTCTTTGTGTAATAGGATTGTTCAAGGGGCTTCATAATCACCCAGGGAAGTGCTATAAGCTTTTTGTATTGTTTGTTTGTTTTGGAATTTCGCGAAAAGCTACGCGAGGGCTATCTGCGCTAGCCGTCCCTAATTTAGCAGTGTAAGACTAGAGGGAAGGCAGCTAGTCATCACCACCCACCGCCA